AATACTTGTTGAAAGAGAGAGAGAGAGAGAGAGAGAGAGAGAGAGAGATTGGTTGCCCCTCTTTAAAAAATATTATACAACGAATTCAAAAAAGTGGAAATATTGAGATTATAAGCATAGACTAGCATTTTATGCACTAAATGTCAAGAATAAAACACATCTTTAAAAGAATTTCAAACAAATTCTTTATATTTACAAAATAAAGAATATTCTCAGAAATTTAACAATTTAATGATTAAAAATCAAAATTGGATTCATTTATAATATACAATGAATTATAATATAGAATCAAATCTAATTAAAACATTAAATAGTGTCAGAAAACGTTGTTATCCTGTGTTAGAAGGATAACAAACGGATAACAATGTTTGCAAACAAATCGCAAAATAATCATTGAGTGTAGAGATAAAGAGATACCATTGAATTGATTGCAGTCTCTCTTTATTTATATGAATGCCGTTAAAAGGGATCTCAATATCTCTTTCAACAGTTATGCCGTTATATGTCGTGCAGTAAAGTATGATTGCAGACAACGATCACAAAAACACACATAAACTTTGATTTGGAAACTAATAAACTTTATATGATTTTCACAAACGATACCATTTCTGTCAATAGGCTATGAATTTGTCTTTCATTTCTCATCACATATAGAGCTATGAACTGAATTACAACAAAATGCCATCCGTTTTGAGTTCATTAACTTTTTTCTCCTCTCTTTCAACAAGTATTTCAAATTTTACGACTAATTAAATGGAAAACAGAATTTATTGATGGAAATGAATTTAAAGAAATTATTTAATTAACTTATGTTTGATAAAACCAAAAGTTATTTTCGGCCATTAATTTATTTACCAGAAATTTCCTTAATTTTAAAATAAAGATATGATATTTGAGAATATTTAGCACATATTGTACCCAAAACTAAAGCCCAAAATGTGCGGTTGAAATGAGTTATTGGAAATAAGACTCGGAGAACATTAGGCTCAAAATCCTACAAATGAGAACTCCGAGAGAGAGATGAAAGACAAATTCATAGCCTATTGACATAGTTAATTAAATAATTTCTTTAAATTCATTTCCATCAATAAATTCTGTTTTCCATTTAATTAGTCGTAAAATTTGAAATACTTGTTGAAAGAGAGAGAGAGAGAGAGAGAGAGATGATTGCAAATGTAGGGTTAAATGGCATCTGAATGGCACACATGAAGATCTGAATGTCATTGAATTGCATTCTTCTGTTCAAATGCACACCAATATAACAGCTGTGCATCTCTTCTATATTATTGCTTTTACTCAACAAATAGAGAGCTCTAAGTCTTATATTATATAAAACAAGACTAAAGTTTTTGCCAGAAATAAACAGCAAAGCAGTAATTGCGAGAAAACATTCCGTCCTTTAGTTTTCAGTTTTACACTTTTTTGAGAAACTTATCATAAAATAAGTGAAAACCAAATAAAATGGAAAATACATAAAAACACAAACAGTATTAAAATGCTTTCCAGTTTTGATGTAAGAAAAACAATATGATTTGATGATGAGTTCAATGTAACGCAAAAACTTATTTTTTGAATAAAATCCTAAATAAGTTAAATCTATTGAATAATTACAGGATTAGTGACGTAAGTTAAGAGCACTCAATCGTGTATAATATCGCAAATAAATCTATTATACAATTTTTTTGTCAGTAATGGTAGTATAAAAGGTAACAAAAGGCATCATTTTATATATAAGATATATTGTATCACAATTCAGGTCACGTTTGATGCAAAGTATGGCTATTTCTGATCTAAAAGCTTGAGAATAGATAGAGAATAATAATTTGGTGTCGAATGAAGTTCTGCCGCAATATTTGGTATGAGTTTTATGTGAATATATTGTATGATATTCTGTGTTATGGTTTGATTTGAATGAAATCTATTGTATGAGTGACTCATCTCTGCAAAAATCCCCCAAAATTCTTGCGTCGATGTCATGACAGACATAATACTAATGCAGTATTTCATTGAAACTCATGAAAACTGCTGTAAACTGTGGAAACAGTGTACTGAAGATGAGTGGATGCAGTCGTCCAACAACTGGTGGTCTATTGATTAAACCTTAGAGGGATTGCAATACATTCAACTGAATGTCTCCACAATCTTATGGCTCGGCTTTTCAATGAATTTAGTGGCACAGAGTTGTATCAGCAATGGCTGTGAACCGCGATATGCGTTGATATTTGTCTCACTGAATGTTCACTGTATAGCGATCTTAAATAATGCACATCTTTTACACCAATATGTCTAAACTGAATACTTCTTTATTTATTTAAGACTATATGAATCAATACAAACTATTGCCAATGCTTTGGGCGGTAGTGTTGTTCAGTACTGTTCAGTGCCATCCTCTGCACTGTTCATCACTAAACTTCTCTATATTACTATTTATTGCTTCAAAACTCTTAAGAGATAATAACAGAAACAATCGATATCTCAAAACTCAATATTTTCCTCAACCAAACAATTCTTTCTCAGCCTTTGATTAAATTAGACTAACGTTTGAGTATTTTTACATTTTTTCAAGAAAACAAAAATACTTCAGTTTCTCTTCTTTTAATTTATTGCTCAAAAATATTTTCCATTTAAGATAAGAATGTCATTTATTTCAGACATTGAAATGAAAGTTTTATTTAGATATTTATTCAAACAATTCGTCTAAATTTTCGCAAATATTTATTATTTGCTTTTAAAATAGTTTTCTAAATCAAGTCATAATTCTTAATATATTGTAAATTACAATCAATGGTTTATAAAATATTTATCATGTATTAAACATAAAACAACTAAATGCTTATTTTTATGTCTCGTATAAAGTATGACAATTGCTTGAATAGTATGTCAGCTCTTAATTATCTCAATTGTTGAGACGTTAATTTGATTTCAAATGACAATGATTTTGTGAAAGTTGTGATGTAGTGAACGCATACACAACATAATGTGACTCCGAATGCTTTTAGTTAATAATTACATTTCTCTAATTAAATAAATTCGTTATAGAAATGGGGTTTAAGTATATTTCACTCATTCAACACAAAAAATGCAAATTCTGTTGAATTGATTGCATAGCGAAATGGTTTCAAAATATTTGGGTTCACATTACAAATGAGGTCTGAAGTGAGATGTCGTGTGTCTCAGAAGACCACACACTTTGACTTAATAAATAAGATATGAAAGAATGGGTCAAACCTTTTCCTAGAAATCCATGTTTAATGAGTTGTGCTTCCATTAAAACGCGAGGAATGAGAAAACAAATGGATGCCAACAAATGAAGGAATGGTGCGATTGGGAGGCAATGTCTCCAAATGAGTTTCAAGGCATGAAATCTTCGTTTTCTTCGCATTTCTTTCGCAGATGTTTTGATATTTTGATAGATGTTGTGAACAGACGTGTCATAAGATTTGCGTGGATTTCCTAATTTGTGTCCATCATTGGAGTAATTGCCGACTTTCATCATCGCCACGACCACAAAGAATGGCAGCATTACTACACCCGACCCGATGAACACCACGTAGGCGTTGAGGGCTGAGAAGGGCGGCTGACCATTAGGCCAGGGAAGCGATAGGTAAACAGTGAACCGTTTGATACTGTTTGCTATTATATAGACCTATAAATAAATGAATCAAAAGAATATATCAATAAAAAAAATAGGAAAATAAAACTCCATTTACTTATCGCTACAACCATTAAGTTAATCGAAAGTGATGTGAAACATACCTGAAATGCCATCACAATAGTACAGTACCAAATGGACCACAAACTATTGAGAGTATAGGTGCGATCACTTCGCTTACACTCGAATGGCATCGAATAGCTCTCAGATCCAGAATATCGTCCCTTTTCTCCACCTATTCTTCCACTACTTGAAGCCATTTTCCAAATATTTATGTCCTTTTATTTGCTTTTTATTAACAATTCATCTCTAAATATAGAAATATAAAGAATATATATTATATGAATATATTATCGTTCTTTTGTTCATAAAATTAATGAAATATTAATTATATCTAAAAATAAAGATATGATTATAAATTTAATTATCTAAAACCTTATATAATAGTCTATTAATGACTTAATTTAGTCATTATATTAATATTATACGACTACGAAATGTTTAGTGCGAAAATGTTTTGTTAACTGAATTCAGTGTAAGTTTAAACGATTATAACAATAATCATTACTTGAGAAATATCTAAATCCCAATTTTAGTTAACGATAAATTTGAAGCAATAAATTCTTGAGATTATTTGTTGGGGAGTTTGTTTGTATGCATTTTATAATGTATTTGAGTACAAATGTTTGAAACTTGGAAATGAGACTCATATAAACAAAAATCCAACATTTATTTTATTTACTCAAAGCCCTAATGTGTGAATTCAATGGTTCTCTAAATACAGATTAGTTTATAATTCAGATAAACAACAATTTCCAAAAGACAAGTAACTCAACCATCGCTACAGAAGTTTCAATTAGTGTTGTGTCGAACAGAATAAAGATTAGTCTTTTTGACCGAAAAAACAATTCAATATTAGAGTAAAGTTAATGATAAGAATGTTTGAAAACATTGTGAGTATTATAACAATATATCGACTCAAACATTGGGGTAACCAATACTAATACGAGTCAATGACCAGCATTTGGTCAAAATTATATAATATTGTCCTCAGGGGGTATAATGTGTGAATTCCTGGCTCTTTTGGTTTAATATAATTAATCAGATGAACGATCAGAGTATGAAAGGCTTTCGATATGAAACTACTGTATAATAAAGTTGTGATATATGAAGGATTGGCCACATTTTCGCTGCTATTATCACTGCAATAATAATTAATAACAGAGAATAAGTGATGTTTAACACTAAAAAGTGTTTATTTGTTTTGGTAAATAAACTTATTTAGTACTGGAATTACAATATAAACCAAATAATATGCCCTCAAATGACATTGTATTTTAGTAAACGTCAAAATTTATTTTCAGACTTAATTCTGAACGAAATGATACGAAATATCTAATTAACTAAGAGTTAAAGCAATACTATAGTTTATTGTAGTTAAATGAAAAGCAGATGTCATACAACAGACACACTATGAGAATTCTGGTACACTCTTTGAGTTTAGTTCATATGATTTTTAGTCTTGATTTCAATGACAACCAATTATTAGTGAAGGACTAACACATGTGGGCCCTAAACATTGATTACTGTTTTTCTTCATTCAGAGTTTCATCAAATAAATTACTTTATAATAATGTATATTCTTTTAATAGCATTAGAGATAAATCGTTAATAAATTTCTAATATCAGACGTCTGTTATAAATCAATGAATATAAAGATAATTATGAATTTTGGCACAACAGTGAAAGTAATTTGTGTGAAATATTTTTGTCTACAGATCTACTGTTTAAGATTAATCATAATAAACCGTATAATCATTAAAAATAATTTTCAATAATCATAACTGCATTTGAATACTCAATTAAAGTAATTTAGGAATTAAGTCAAACATGACATTTATGGCATTTCATGGCAT